GAAATCTGTTTATCCCACCCCACCCCCAAATAAACTGAAATATGGTAGAAAGCTTTCTGGGTAAAATATTCCTGTTACAGAGATAAACACGTAACACAAACATGAAATCATGCAAATACCCACGATAGGGAGGGATGTGGCCCCCCATTAGAACACTGTCTACACAGGGTGAGGTACACGTCGGGCTGCAGGGCTGTGCGGGAGGGTACGGCTACACCTGTCACCATCACTACGTGCCTATCAGGAGAAATTCATAGAAGGGGTTAGGAAGAGATGATATAAGACTTTAATCAAAGATATGTTACGGAACACATCAAAATAAAAAGCTTCTGCACAGTGAAGGAAATAATCAACAGAACTAAAAGGCAACCTATGGAATGGGAGAGCATATTTGCAAATGACAAATCTGATAAAAGGGCTAATATCCAAAATCTACAAAGAACTGATACAACCCAATACCCCAAAAACAAATAATCCAATTAAAATGGGCAGAAGAGGGGCGCCCAGGTGGCTCAAATGGTTAAGGGTCCGACTCTTGATTTCAGCTCAGGTCATGATCTCAGGGTTGTGGGACTGAGCCCCGTGTTGGGCTGCATGCCCAGTGCTCATTGCAGAGTCTGCTTGAGATTCTCTCTCTCTCTCCCTCTGCCCCTCCCCACTTGGCCCCATGGCGGGGGTGCGGAGGGGTGGGCAGAAGATATGACCAGACATTTCCCCAAAGAAGACATCCAGATGGCTAACAGGCACATGAAAAGCTGCTCAACATCACTCATCATCAGGGAAATACAAATCAAAACCACAATGAGATATCACCTCACACCTGTCAGAATGGCTAAAATCAACAACACAGAAAACAGCAGGTGTTGGCGAGGATGCGGAGAAAGGAGAACCCTTGAGTACTGTTGGCTGGAATGCGAACTGGTGCAGCCACTCTGGAAAACAGTGTAGAGGCTCCTCAGAAAATTAAAAATAGGACTACCTTATGATCCAGCAATCTTGCTACTGGGTATTTATCCAAAAAATATAAGAACACTAATTCAAAGGGATACATGCACCCCTGTGTTTATAGCAACATTATCTACAAGCAGCCCAACTGTCCATTGACAGATGAATGGATAAAGAAGAGATGGTATTATATATACACAATGGAATATTACTCAGCCAGAAAAAAGAACGAGAGCTTGCCATTTGCAATGATGTGGATGGAGCTTGAGTGTGTTATGCTAAGCAAAAAAAGTCAGTCAGAGAAAGACAAATACCAAATACTCATATGTGGGTTTTAAGAAACAAAACAAAAGGACAAAGAAAAAAAGAAAGAAACCAAAAAGCAGACCCTTAGCTCTGAAGAACACACTGCTGGTCACCAGAGGGGAGGCGGTCGGGGGCTGGGGGGAAACGGGATGGGGGTGAAGGTGCACACGTGTCGTGAGGAGCAGTGGGTGATGTATGGAGGTGCTGAATCACTATGCTGTACACCTGACACGAATATCATACCACATGTTAACTATACTGGAATTAAAATTAAAAACTTAACTTAAAAAAATGAAAAAAAAAAAGAGATGTGTTAGAGAGAAGAATCACCCAAGATCCTACCACTTTCAGGTTTTTTATATTTGCAAAACATCAGCATCATTTTAGCTACGGGTGTGGGACTCTAAGTGTCCAGTGTGGCTGAGAACAGTGTGCTTGTGTTGAAGTCATGATTCACCATTGGGAGGTTTTATTTGGTAGTTGGAGGAAGAAGGTAGGGAGAAAACGTGGGGATCGTCATGTACAGAGGGGGAAACGGATCCAGACATGAGAAGCAGTATGCCCAGGGTCACATAGCAGGTTCATGGCAAAAAAACCAGGTCTCCTGAGGCAGAGCTCGCCCCGGGCACTGCCAGCCAGACCACTGCTGACCTTCCCACTAGCCCTTCCGGTGGTGGGGCAGCATCCTGTTTTTTTTTTTTTTTTTTTTTTAAAGATTTTATTTATTTATTCATGAGAGACAGAGAGAGAGAGAGAGGCAGAGGGAGAAGCAGGCTCCCAAGGAGCAGGAAGCCCGATGCGGGACTCGATCCCAGGACCCTGAGATCATGACCTGAGCCGAAGGCAGACGCTTAACCATCTGAGCCACCCAGGCGCCCCAGCATCCTGTTTTTTAAGAATGGGTTCCTGCTCTCCACACATTCAGGTGTTTTCCTTTTATAGTCTGACTTAAATAGCAATACAATAATTGATACTTAGCGCCAACCAGCTCTTTGCCCATCTCTGCTCTGCTCCCCTTTTCTGGCCGGGGAAACTGGGATCCAGAGGGGGCAAGCTACTTGCGTGAGCAAAGACAGCTCACAGGGGACAGGAGTGGGACTGGAACCTGGTCTGCCCGACGCCCGAGCCCCCAACCACCATGCTGCCCAGCCTCTGTGGGCGGGAAGGCCCCTGAGGCCAGAGCAGACAGGCTTCAGGACGCGGGGCTGTTTATTGTTCCTGCGGCTCTCTGTGCAACCATCAACACGTTGTTTGAAGGGTGAGGGCTGGTGGACTTTGAAGAGAGTGGAGAAGGAGAGCTCCCGCGGGGGTTTGCCGTCCAAACAGATGCGACAGAAACCAGAGGGCAGCCAGGGTGGCCGAAAGGCTGGTGGGTGGGCGGCGAGCCTGCCTGGGCTCCTGGGCCATCTTGTGATGACATGTCATGTGACCACCAAGGCCAGGCCTGGGGCCTCTGCACGGTCCCTCCCGGTGAGGGCTGGGGCCTGGGGCGCTGTGCCCACCCTCCCTGGGGGCACTGAAGCCATCCGCCGCCAGCTGGGGCTTCCGGGGGGCAGACATGGGGTACCACACTCTATGCCCCAAACAGCTTTGCTATCCCGTGTTTGAGACCATGGCCCGATTCCCAGGGGGATTCCTGAAGTCAGCCTTGCGGTCTGTGACCCACTCCATGAGTGGAGGGGCGGCTTGTTCGTGGGGCTGAGCACTGTGGACATGAGGTGCACTTTTCCTGCCCTATTTTATGCAATCCGCAACGACTCTGTGAGGTGGGACCATTACCACCCCACTTTGCAGGTGAGCATTCGGAGGCTCAAGAGGATCAAGTGACGTGCCCGGCAGATGGGCTAGGGCTTGACCCCGGGCGGTGTGACCTGGGCTTTACCCCTGATAGCACAGCACCGAGGCTGCATCCCAGCTCTGTTGGAAGACGGCATGGCTTTGGCTCCTGACCCTGTGACTTTGCCACTGTCCCCCCATCTGGTCTTCAGAGGCTGACCTCTCTCTGCCTCCACAAAAGGAAGGCAATGAGAATCTACCTCCTGGGTGGTCGTGGGGGTCGGATGAGCCTTTCCTGTGAGTGTCTGCAGCAGTGCAAGGCGCATCCAGCGTCGCTTCCATGAGGCCGGCGGTTAGCCGCGTGGTTATCACTGGGGACCGAGCAGCCTCCCTTGTGCCGGCGGCCGCCTCTCCCTTTCCCGCTGTTTCCTTGGGTTGGAGGTGATGATCATGAACATGGGTGTCACTGGGGACAGGGGAGACAGTCTGGACAAAGCCGCTGTTGCAAGAGAGCACGTTTCCCGAAACCTCTGCACAGGCACGTCCGTCCTCGAGCATGCTCACCGTGCTGGGACGCCCTGCCCAGGCCCTGCCTGGCGCCTGGTTCTCTGGACGGTCGGCCAGTGGCCGGCTGCGCGTGCCCGCCTGCTGCGCGTGCCCGCCGGCTTCTGCACTGCTGTTCACGGGAAGACCAGGGAGGGCACGCAGAGGGGCTGGCTGGGAAGGAGGCAGAAAGGAAGCTGCCTTCCCCAGCCTGCAGCAACTTTCTGACAGGGAAGGGAAGGGAGAGGCTTCAGGAGAAGTCACTTTTCGAAGTCGTGTTTGCTCGGGAGCGCTTCCATTCAGGCTGGGACCCGAGAAGGGGAGAAACGAAGCGTGTGTTTTGCTGGGTTTCAGTCGGTGTCCGCGGGTTCCAGCAGGGCCCGAGGAGCCGTGTTTGCGTTTGTCCCCGTGGCCTCTGTCCGGATGACCGTTCCTGCCACCACCCAGCTGGGCTCTTCTCATTAACCCGGTCACACGGCCCGATAAGCCGGAGAGGAGCGAGGGCGGAGCTGAACCCCCGCAAGTGGGTGCGGGGCGGGGGGGAAGTCTCTGGGCTTTGCTAATTGGGGTTCTCTTCTCCTCTCGATTAGGTTCTGCTCTTTGTCTGAGCAGACAAGATAAGGAGGAAGCTGGGCTCTTCCTAACAAGCCCGCCTGGCAGGGCCACGTGGTCATTGCCGAGCGGCCGGCATCTGCGGCAGTCCTGTCGGTTCGGCAGTGGGAGCGGTCGCGGCCGTGGTCGCTGTTGCTGGGAAGCGGGAGGCCATCCTGAGCCCCCCTGGGGTCTACTGGCGGAGGCTGCCTCGAGCTGCCACGTCTGGCTCCTTCACCCAGAGACATTTTCATCCTGAGCGGCTGACCTGTTCGCTCGTCAGAATTGCACAAGTTCTGGCTGCAGGGACTCCCCAAAGCCGTGGCCGCTCTCAGGCAACAAGGGAAGCATCAGCGCATGGGGGCCCGGGGAGCGCTCGCATGGCGGGCGTGCAGATCGTAAAAATCACATCAAACAACATCAAGTCGTGCACTTCTTTTGTGTCTTTTCACCAGAAGGACGTGAAAAAACAAATCATGATTCATCAGCACCTGGTTTTTTAAAAATAGAAATAATATCCACCACCCCCCCAAAAAAGTGCCATGCAGTGAATTTGTAAATTAAAGCAAGGAGATGCTTACTTTAAATTTTTAAAGTCCCCACATATCTGATAGTCCAAACCAAGAATAATATTTGGCGCTGATATGGATTTTTTTTTTTTTCCTATCTGAATATACAAAGTATTATATGCCATATTGACATCAGGGCTAAATCTTTCCCTTATAAGGTGTTTGACATAAATAGTTTTTATTATGTAATTCTTAAATGGAAGGAATACACACATTTCTTAAAGGTCCCAGCTGTTATTGTTATCATTTGAGACATGGAATTGGAATCCCAACTTCCAATATCAAATTTTAGCACAAACCCTATAAAATCTATCTTGTCAGAATGTGCCAGAACCTCTAAGCCCTTCCCGGCTGAACAAACTGCAGCTGGTGCTTCATCCTGAAAGGAGAGAATCGACTTTGCGTGTGGGGTATAGGAAGCACACCGGCCCCGGTTTTCGCCCAGCTGCCGGGCCGACGGGGGAAGGCGTGGGTTTAGATTAGCCGTGTCCTACGCCGCTTGACGGGGTGACACGGGTCTGTAGGGCCGAGCCCGGGGCCTGGAGATAGGGCCAGCCAGCAGGAATGCAGGGAATGTTTTTCTTCGGACTCTATCGAGGCACACAGACCATGGGGATTCTGTCCGCGGTGACAGCCTTAACATTTGCCAGAGCCCTGGACGCCGCTCTAGAAATGGCATTGCCCACCCTGGAAGTGAGAAGGTAACGTTTATTTTTGTATTTTTTTCTCTCTCTCCCATATACAGACTGTAGAAAGACCACCAAGCGTGCGCCATTTTTTTTTCCCACCATGATGTACAATTCACATTTGTTAATCAAAAAAAGTGCCCGAGGTCATCCACCTAGACTTTTTTTTTTCTTCTTCTTCTTAAACAGGAAACGGGTTTCAGATGTTTATATGTTAAAAAGTAAGGCTACTAATCTGTTTAGCCATTTACCAGATCCTGGCGAACTCCCTCTTATAGTTTAATGTTCAGACTCCATAGAATGACATCCATTTTATCCCTCTTGTTATTTAGAATGAAAAACAAAAATCTTCCAATAGTCACCTGCTTTTCTGGGGCAGCTCTAGCAGAGGTTAAAATAAATGAATCCAGGAGTTCAGTGAAATTGTGCTCACAGGGGTGTGGGTGTTGTGTCCTGCGTCTGAAAATTAAACCCTCTCAGGCCATTCTTTAAAATAGACCGTGGTCACATGTATTTTCATGTGTCTGTGGAGGCTTCCCACTCAGATTCAGAATAGAGGTTTACAAATGCATACAGTCAGGAAATCTACAGAAAAGGCAAAAGTAGTCCTTTTAAAGGTCAAATCTTTTTCTTTGAATCAGCAGCATATTTTCCATGGTGCTTCTCGATATTAGGCTGGGAACGGGAACAGAGAAAAACGATTTTCCCCGAGAGTCCATGATCACTTGAAAGGACTTCAGCCTGATGTTTAGAAATCAAGGTTTTTGTTTTATTGCTGGAATTTTTGTCTTGCCCCGGGGCCGATAATTTCAAACGGTCGCATTGCTGGTGAAAACGTGTCCCTGTTTAAGTGTGGCAAGTCAGTGATGTTTTTCTATGGTGGGAGGTTTATGTATTCATAAACCGGGAGACAGGAGCACAAACAGGGGAGGTTTGAATGCTTTTTTAGTGAATTTGTTAGTATTCAAAGCACTGGCCGAAAAGACTGTTTTAAACGTAGGACTCGGAAGGAGTTATATCATTTGCTAAACCTGGGTCTGATGGTCTTTACTCTTTACCCGCCTGTGTTTGACCAAATGCTCTATGTCTGCAGATTGTGAGAGGAGGCAAACGATGGTTTTTGGAGACATTTTGTCAAAGAGAGAGAAATAGCTAAATTGAAATGAACTCTTAAAAGCAGCCCAATAGTCTCTGGATGGGTAAAAAAGGTATTTGCAAAAACTAAAACATAGATAAAGAATCATTCTCAATTTCCTAACCAGTATCCTCACCTACCCTCACTCTGATGTATATATATACATAGATAGATAGATAGATAGAATATTCTATGAGGCAAAAGTATAGTTGTTTCTTTCTCATCAGAGTTATCAAAAGTGGCTGGAGAAAAGATCAGTATAAGTGTAAAAATGGGTATGTAATAAATGTCCAAGCTCCTTCAAATGGGGATGGGACGGATATGATTAAACACAATTTAAAATACGTGTTTTTTGGCAAATGAAAAAACCATTTTGATTTCCTGGGGCATGTTTTAATTCAGTGTTCAGGGGACACAAGGCTGCCCCAGGATAGGTGTTAGGAACTCCCAGCACAGACCAGTGACAAACAGCAACAATACCACCTGCAGTGAAGAACGTGAGCGAGAATAAAGGCAAGCGGTCCTGGTGTGTGAGAAGCTTCTGTCGAGTGGGTCTGTCCAAGTGTCAGCACCCCAGCAGAGGCTGGTCCACGGAGAACAAATCCCCACCAACCCCAGACTCCCTCTCCAGGACGTGTCTGCCATATCTGAGGACCCCGAGTCTCACCCAAGGAAAGCCCTGCCTTGGGGGCCCTTTGGAAAGCACCAGCGTGCTAACGGAGCAGAGGGGAAGCCTGGAGCGGCATCTATGCAGCTACTGAAAGCCTGAAGAGCGAGCCAAGCCGACAGAAGGGGTCAGTCTGATGAAGGGCAGACTTGGTGCCTGTGATTTTCTGCATGGGGCAGGACGCGGGGCATTGTGAAAATCACAGCACACGAACCACTTTGGGCTAGAACTCTTCTTTTTTTTTTTTAACCATCTCTCTGGGTCCTGGACTGTTAGGAACAGAAAAAAATGCCTAAGTCTGCAAATCCCAGGCAATCACCGTGTCAGCTTGGAGCCGAGATGTTTCCCAAATGAACACCTGGACGGTGTAAATCACCACAGCGGTAAACACTTCAGGCCGGCGCAGGCTGCAGACTGGCGGGGCTGCACCCTCCCACCCGGCCGGGGTCCATAAACCGGGCGCTGGCCCGCCATCATAAACGCCCCTCTCACGGAGAAAGACCCCTCCCCGGCTGGGAGCAGAGCCCCTTCGACGAGGCCACTCAGATAACGGACTGCCCTCAGCGCTGTCCCGCTTACCCTGGGCTGGTATCCCGAGTAGCTGTCAAAGGCCTGTGTCGTGAATGGCTTCGTGAGACCTAGAGAGGCGACCGGGGCCGCTGGCTTCAAGGCGGCTGTTTTCGAAGGCGCCGTGCAAAGAGAAAACCTAAAAAGAAAAAAGAAAAGAATAGGCTTTATTTTTTTAAGCATTGATAGTAAAATCTTCACAATAGCTGTAACAATAAGCAAAAGATCTATAGGGAGCGTCCCCAAAGTTGGTAGAAATCAAAGTGTCATTCCCTCCTTGAAAACACAGTGAATTAAGATATTAAATGACTCTTCTTCTCCGTGCTGTCCTAGAATCTTCCACGCCTACTGGGTGACCATGCATTTGGTGTAAGCAGTTGTTACAAAAATCCCTGAATGGGGGAAGGCAGATGGCAGAATACGCCTCAAAAGGATCGCATCTTTGGGAACTTTTTATATTCTGATGCTGTCCTTAAAAAGGAGAAATTTCTCCTTATAATTATCTGATTAGGAGAGTCTTTTAAATGACGTTTTCTGCCTTCCACCAGACAGATGGGAGGACAGGCAATATAAACTTTATAAAAGCGGCCTCCAGTTCAGGCTTTTTATGGCTCTATTCCTTTTTCCCCACAGCGCGGAGTAGAGAAAAGGAGGGAACCCGAGAGCAATTTCTCTGCCTCTGGGATCAACCCTGCACCAAAGAAAAATAACCTGGAGAAATTAGTCTGCAGCCAGGAACGAGGCTGGGATCAAATGGTTGCTGATTGGAGCAAATATTTAAACGGGATAAGTCAAATCGAGCATTATTAAATAAAGCTTGTTTAATATGTCTCAAACAGAAAATGTCTTTTGAGGAGCGTTTTAAACGTGGTCCTGGAGCTCTGGCTGGGGGCGCGTCTCGAGGCTTAACTGGTGTGCGTGGGATCTGTGCTCTTACCACAGAGATGTGCTGCTCCTTTGGAAAGCCTTTCCCCCCATGGAATAAAATGAAAGCAGGGAAGTTTTTAGGTAGCTCTTGAACGCTGTTAACACAACATAAGCAGCAGGAGACAACTGGCCCATGTTGTCACATTTATTCATCAGGCGGAGCGCAGCCTGGCCGGCTGGGTGACAAGGGTCACAAGGGTGACGGGCGGCAAGCCGAGGAGACCCGCGGGTGGGGGTGATGGTTTCCCAGCACAGTGCAGTAGGGCAGCAGCTGACCCTGCTCTCACCAAACCTAAAACCACTCTCTAATGGGTTTTACAATATTTACATTTTCTATTTTATTTATAGGATGCCATGTGTCTACATTCAAATGAAAAAAAAAAATCACTGGATATAAAATCCCACCCCGTCCCCACATTTGCTCGCTCATTAGAGATGTACGCGTCCCTGTTGCCGCGTATCTGCGTGTGCGCGCCAAATCGGACCCGGGCCTGGGGTCTCGGCAGAGGGTCGGGAGGGGCAGATGGGGCATCTGTTCCCATTGTCTGTGGGGCCACGGGTGCGTCTTCATTTCTGGGCCACATTTTCTCCTGCTGTAAGCAGTGAGGGGGCTGGTGACGTGCGGAGGCTTGTCCCAGAGCGGAGATTCTTTGCACGTCTCAGCGACCACCCTCTGGCTCATTAACCTTTCCTGGCCCGTGGGAACGGGTGTCCGGGAACCAGCTTGGAGCCGGAGCTAGGAGAGCTGGTCGAGTCCCTCCCGTGCCACGGTGTACGTGTGCGCTTGGGTGGGTGAGTTATCACATGTCTTTCTTACCTCACCCTAAAAGTGATCTTTTTATTCACTTAATTGTTTTCATTGCCAATTGACCTGACCCACAGATCGGACACGGGACCCACCACCCGCAGCCCATCTGATTTATCTGCCTGAAATGTAGTTACACGTCCTCTCGGGCAACGCAAGACCCTGCAGATTCCCTTCATAAAACCTAATCTCTCCCAGGGCGCTTGCTCGGGAAATTTTATTCCCTTCCCCAATGTAGACAGATGAACAGTTTGCTTTTCAGCTCAGGCGCAAGGACTGATTCCTTCCTGTGCAGCCACCCTGGGCAACAGTATGGGAACGAAAGCCCCGCTGAGACAGGGTGCTGCGGAGTGGTGGCCCTGGGTGCTGTCCTTCGTTCCTGGACAGGTGTCACTGCCCCCTTCTTAGTAGACACTGCTGACCCCCGTGCATGCTGCCCGGGGGGACGGTGGCCCTGGCAATGGCCACGGAGCCTCACAGCAGGACGGCAGGCAGCCCCCAACAGCAACGCCTATGCTGAGCTTTCTGGGCCCTCGTCAGGCCAGAGGGGACGGGACAGCTGGAAATGTGTTGGCGGGGAGGTGCTCAGAGTGTGGTCTGAACTCCGGGTGGACGGGCAGCGGCCCAGGGGACTGAGGCCAGAGTTGGAGCAATGCTGCTTTAGAAAAGCCTCACGTGTTGCTCCGTTGGTCAATGAGAGCAACTAGGAAGCCTAGCTTTCCTTCCCAGCATGGCTGCCGCAGCCCTACACCTCTTGAACATCAGTGAAGGGAGCCTGAATGCCTGGAGAGGCAGGATCTAGAAGGCTGGGGGTGTGTGTCCTTCCTGGGACACGGGGAGGAGAACTGAGGGAAGGGGTGACAGGTGGGCTGGGCAGGAGGGGAGAAGAACACCGTAGGGTTAGGGATGAATGTTGAGAAGGGGGGCTCTGCTAGCAGCCGGGCTGGAGCCCAGAGGAGAGGCTGGGGGAGGGGCAGGATGGACCCTGCATCACCCTCCCCTTCACCATTTGGCCTCTCGATCAGCTGGCCCGAGTGTGTCTCCTGCTGCTCCCGCCCTAGGCCTCCTAACCCCCTGCCTGGTGACTGTCCCTTAGGGTCCCCTAGAAAGCTTTGACAGTACAGATGCCTGGTGCCACCCTGGAGATTGGGGAGACGTTAGTACTTATTACCAGCTCGCAGGACCAACTGCCCTGACCCTAACCTTCCGATGCAGACTTCTTATGTGAGGCTTCTGTAATTCGCACTCCGGAGACACCCTGTGCGGGCGGGGGGGGGGGGCAGGGGCTGCAGCACCCAGAAGGATCCCCGGAGCACCCCGGGCTGTGCGTTTGGGTGAAGCAGAGACACGCGCAGCAGGAGGATCATTTCCCAGATGCTTGTTTCTGCTCTGCCCCCTTGTTGGGCAGGTCTGCAGGAAAGTGAGGGCTCCCCTCGCTAACGTGTGCACCCCACTCCCAGCCGGGGCCTCGTCGTCCACACTGGGAAAACAAGGAGATTCTGAGCCTGGGATGGGACTTTCACAGAGTTCCCTCATGTCCCCACGTGGCTTTTTCTCTTCCTTGGTAAATGTAGCTTAAGACAAAACAAAAACCATAAAATCTTAAAATTTTCCGGAAAAAAATGCAAATCTTGATGAATGGGAGCCTACGTGTCAGTTACCTGTCCTAAGTAATTCCGATGTCCCGTTGGCCCCCTTGCTTCCTTGTAAAGTGCAAGCCGCGTTAAGGAGAGCTAACATATAGAGAGTCTCTAGAAATCCAGGCACTGCTTGGAGAGCTTCACACGGCTTCATTCATGTCCCTCTGGCAACAACCCTGGGGGGCAGGTGTTCCTTTTGTGCCCATTTTGCAGATGGGGTAAGTGAGGTGCGGGTGACTTCCCGGCAGCACACAGATAGTACGTGCCAGAGCTGGGGTGGGACCCCGGGGGGCTCGACTCCCCCTGTCGGCTGTCCTGGCAAGAGAGGCTGGTACTGGGGAGCTGGAAGATGTCACTGTTTCCTCAGACAACCTCTTAGACGGTGTCAAAACAGCGGCCCAGCCAGCTCTGCTGCTCTCCGTGGGGTGCTCCTGCTTCTGAGGGCCTCCGTTTGCTGCCCCCCGAAGCGGAGCTCAGATGGGGTGGTCCCGCAGATGTGCCGCCCGCCCGGAGCCCCCACCCTCCAGAGGCAGGAGCGCCCGGCCACTTTCCTCCTCCGTCTCTTCTCCCGTTGGGATGGTGACGAGCTGGGGTCTGTTTGTTCTCAGGGAAGAGAGGAACCCTTTCTGGAAATACCAAACCTCTCTTCGCCGAGACAAACCTCGGGGCTGGAGACAGAAAGTGGGGCAGGCTTGGGAAGCAAGCAGGTGCTGCAGACCCTCCGCCGCTCTGACCCAGCTCCAGCCTCTGCGAGCGTGAGCAGCTCGCCGCCCCTCACTCCACCAAGTTGTGGGCATCTCGAAATCGCAGCGGTGCTCAGAGGACAGGGTGCCGCAGTGCTGCTCTGGGTGGGTGGGGGGTGGGGTGGGGCTGTGGTTTCTGCAGAGCCAGGCCTCCTCCCCCAGCCCCAGCCAAACTCCCACAGCCTCCGAGCCCAGGGGCTGGGCCCCCTCTCTGTGGGCCCAGGAGCCTCCCCCTCGCCATCTGAGCCCCGCCCAGGCTGTAAAATGGGTCTAGTCCTGCCTCTGAAGTATGGCCATGGGGGGATTATGTAAGGCGATGACCCATGCTCCTGAAAGGCCAGCCCAGAGCCTTCCAGAACCTTCCACAGAGTCATAACAATAAGAAACAAACAGCACAAGTGGGGCACCAACCGAAGGAGGTAGGGACCACTTTGGACGCATTTTTCGGATGCAAATACTAAGGCACAGAGTGGAGCTGATGTTTGAACCCAGGGGTTCTGGCAGAAGGGTGATCAGCCTCTGCAGTCTCTCCATACACCTGATAGATGGGAGCTACTATTATTATTATTATTATTGGGGGGGTTGATAATTTTTGGCTTCTTAAGAAACGTTTTATCTGGAGATCACTGTAGATGCGCACGCACTGGTAAGGAATAATTTGGGAAGATCCCTGTACCTTCTGCCTGGTTTCCTCCGATGATGACATCCTGCATAGCTGCAGCATGATGTCACAACCAGGATATGACATCATACACCCACGGAGCTGTGCAGGCCAAATGGCAGCAGGGTTCCCAGGAGGGCTAGGTGTCCGCTTAGACCCCGTCCCCTCCATGTGGTACCCCTTGCCCTCCCTTTCACTCAACGTGACCCGACGTTTGTGTACCTAATGTTTACACCCCCCCCCCCCGCAAGAGACGCAAGTTCCGTGAGGTCAGAGGTTTTGTCGATTGGTTGGCTATTGTTTTCCCCGTGTCGAGAAGAGTGCCTGTCACGTGCGGCTTTAGTATATTTTTTAATGGATGGGTGCGTGAACGATGTTTTCTCACAAAGCCAGATAAACTTTCTGAGCTCCCTTAATAAGAAATCTGTAAAATGGGCTGAACGCTCTGGACCAAAGGGGTGTGGTGAGGACCAGGCCATGTAAGATGTGTCGTGTGTCCGGCCCGTGGAGTCCAGTGGGGTCTCGGCTCGGGAGGTTGAGCTGTGTATCCTCCCACACCCAGGAAACTCCCCCTGCCCCCCCAGTCTGTGTCGCCGACCATCCTGGAAGTCTCGCTGCTGTCCTCCGGGGCCTCTGCGGTTTGTCAGGCCCTGGAACGGGCCTGTGATCTTTCAACAGTGAGAGCACCGCTAATCAGAGGCTTGCTCACTTGAAGGAGGCAGTCGTCGAGGAGGTGGCATGTGTGTCTCAAGTACCTGCGTGAAGTCTGCTAATTCTGCTCACTTGGAATTATAAACAGCTTAACACCCTCCACTGCTCGGCCCCGGAGCCCTGCTGGGATTCGGGGATGGCGGGCATTTCCTCCACCTCACAAGGCAGGCCCTCCAGGGCTCGGCACAGCCCATGCCCCCCGGGATGTCGAAGCTACACGGGGATCTTGTAGCCGCAACAGTGTGACGTGCCATAATCCAGGACGCCTCTATAGTTCACAGCAGGCAGGGATTTGAAAACCAGTGTGTTTCTTTCTATTGTAAAATAAGTATCTTATGTGTATTACAAAACAAAAC